ATTGTCCAGTCCGCCATGAATGAGGGGTGTCATGTAACGTGACATTGAGAGACATGCGTGGCCTGGCCATGCAGGGTCTTGTGGGTCCCAGGGGTAGTTTGAAGGAAAGGATGAGGGGGGCCAGGGGAGTGGGGTGGAGAAGCTGGAGAACCAAGCGCCGGGCGCTCGGTGTCCTGTGGTGGAGTCAGCAGGGCTAATGGTGGATCGGGTCTGGGGAGGAGGCGGGGGGACTGGAGTGAGCAGGAGCAGCTGCCTGTAGGACTTGGGACTGTCCGCACGCTGAGGACCAGAGGGTCCGAGGGCGATTCTTCAGTTATGGGCATTATCACTTTATATTGGGTTCTATTTGGGTCTGCAAATCACTTATTCCCAGTGTGCAATGTGCAGATATTTACCTATAGCTGTAGATGGTCTAGAGCAGGGGTGTCCAACTCATTTTCACCAGGGGCCACATCAGCCTCGAGGTTGCCTTCAAAGGGCTGAATGTGACTTTAGGACTATTTAAATGTAACTCCTCCTCAACAATTAAGCAAGAGCTTGGCGCTGCTGCCGTAGAGATAAGGTGCTGGGCCAGATAAAACGTGGTGGAGGGCAGGATTTGGCCCAAGGGCCTTGTGTTCGCCACCTGTGGTCTATAAGGTAGATAACGTACTGTTTGTAAAACAGACAGGTACAAATGTTTCACCCTCTGTTAGGAACAGCTGGCACTAACAGGTGTCCTCGTGCCAATGTCACTTGCTCCCTGTGAGTCTTAGGTAGAGGGTTTGCCACCCCGGCTTTTCAGATCAGGAGCTCACCTGAGAGGTTCAGTGATGTCCTGAGAGAGCAGGAAAGTGCTCCGCTATGTTTATTAAGCTAGAGCTCTGGGTTCAGCATGGTGGACCAGTGTGTTCTAGTTTGCTCCTCATGCGGACCTCCGGAGGTCAGTTTACAGGGGGTCACCATCATCTGCTCTTACTGACAAGGAGACCTGCTGCGCTCACCTGAGTCGTCTTGTCACAGGTCTCCTGTCGGTTTTGGACCAGCAGCCAGAGAAGAGGCTTAAGTCGGGGGAGACAAGCCACCCTGCAGCTCAGAACCTGGTCACTGCCCATGTCAGCGTCCTGCCAGGGGCTTCCTCTCCCGCCATCCCCTCAGCTGTCTCCTGGGCTGCCCCCTCTGCACCCTCAGCTGCTCACCCACTGTGTGCCCTGCTGTCTCCCTCCCACCCTCACATCAGCCTGCCCCCTGGCAGAGTAGAAAACCCCGAAAGGCAGGGGTCTTGCTGTGTGTCACTGTCCTTGGGCTCAGAACAAAGCCTGGCAGATAGCAGGCACTTGACAATGTTTGTCGAGTGAATGAATAACTTTTTTCTTACTTTTTATGTTGGTAGTAAATGGTGGAACCCAAACTGGGGCTGTTTGCCTCTGAAACATGTGCTTTTCTGCCTCAGCACCTGCCCCTTCTATTGTGCCTGGAACATCAGCCATATATTTATGCCCACACGTCTGTGTTGTCACTGGAGTTTTGTGCTTTTCTTTGTAGAATAGAACATTTGCTGAGCGGTCAGAATTGTTCTGAGATCGTAAAGTACAGTCTAGTGAATGAATTTACCAAAAACAGTCCTGCCATTACCATTTTAACCCCTTTCGGGTGACATGTCATGGAAATACATTCTCTTAAATAGTAATAGTGTCCATGATAGTCGGAAGTAACAGTTGTAACTCCATCTTGACAAAAATGAGAATACTTTAAATCATTCTAGAAAGTTTCAGAAAAGCAGCCAAATAAACTGAAAGCTCCTTGATTCCACCATGGAGGCATATAGGATTTAAACCTTGTGGCTTTATAAGCTCTGTGAACAGGAGAAGTTCCCGTGCAGGAGCCTGGAGATTTAGTCCCAGCCCTGCCCGAACTTGCCGACTCCGGGCTCTGCCGCAAGTTCCTGCCCTGCGAACCCAGGCCTCCGAGTCAGTGGTCTCTGAGTCACCTCGCATTTCCAGAAGACTTGCTCTGTCCGCAGGAGGGAGGCAGTGAGTTCTGAGGGTTTCGAGGGTGATGCAGTCAGTGGTGCAGAAGGTTTTCTGGCAGTGCCTGTGTGCATCCCTGGGCCCAGTGCGGGATGCCGCCTCAGTTCATGGCTGCTCACAGTGCACGGGAGGCCAACACTTGGCACCAGTGTCGCGTCGCCTCCCCGTGGATCCGTTGGCTCTGCCCGAAGAGGTGAGGTGAGTGATGGAGGATCTGGGGGAGCAGTGGTGGGCCTGACTCTGAGAAGTGGGAGTCTCAGGGGAGTCCAGGTGGCCCGCCGTGCCTTCTCAGGCCTGGGGCGCTAGGCCGTGTTGGTGGGAACTACTGAAGCAGGCACCATTTTCCGTGTGTACGTCTAGAGCACATCATACCGACTGCAGGTGACTCGGTGGGGAGTGGCGTTTCGTCAGCTCCCTCCTGTGGTGTTGCGGAGTTGGAAACAGGTGGCCGACACACAGACCAGCCAGGCTGGAGAGTCACTTTGACAGTTGCCTGGTATTCTGGGCCTTCACTTACATCCGGTTTCCTCTGTGTTTTGGTTAGTAACAAAGTTCTCTCCCTCTCCAAGTGCCAGCTCACTTAGGGTGAGCTGGTTTCTGTGAGGACAGGAGTCTACTCGGGGATGGCAGGGAGCTTCCCGTCCTGTTTGTGAGGCCGAGAGCCGTTTCCCTGAGGGGGGACCTCGTGCACCAAGCGTGGGTGCTGTGCACGTCCCCTGCCCACGGTCACCTCCCGGCACTCAGGTCTCCGTCGTTTCAGCTTCCTCCCTTTTCAGGAACTGATTCTGCCAGGCACCTGCTCGCTCAGGTTTCTCTTTGGAGGCGAGGTCCTGTGTGTGCCTTATGCGTGCCCTGGCTGAGGGGGGACAGGGATTCCATTTCCAGCCCCTGCCTTAGAAGGGGCACTCCTTGGGGGGGGGTGTCCCCAAATAGAGGAGGGAAGTCTGGGGTACTAGGTGGCCACCAGTGCGGGAATGATGGAAAACAGACTTCACTCAGACACTTCACCAGGACCGGGCCGGAGCACAAATGGCCTGACGTCACATCTAAATGCAGGAAGTGGTTTCGAGATGTGCACAGGCCGCAGCTTAAATAGCAGGGATTTGACTGTGTATATCCACTCTGTCTAGATAGGAGTGAAGTCAGATACATACTTGTTAGTAGCGATCGTTTGAATCTGATTCCTTTTCAGGATAGGAATCTACCCAAAACAACAGTTATTATTCTTGAGTCTGTCATTGGCCTTAGGTTCTGCAATATGCCTGTTATAATACAGTGTTCTTTGGCGAGCTACTTTAAAGGTTTATCTTTCCTTTCTTACTATATTAAAACTTTGTCACTAAAAAGCCATCTAAACATTTGGAGAGCTTCACGTAATCATCTTTTAGATGAACAGTCCCAGGAAATGAGTGGTGCAGGCGGCAAACGGGGGGAACTGTGTGCTGCAGACAGAAGCAGGTTCGGGGTTGAGGCTGAGAGTCTTAGACCAGGAGGACGTGGGGTCCACCCCGTGGAGAAGGTCACTGCCACTGCGTCTCGGCCGGTTTTGCGAGCGGTAAGATGAGAACCTGTGTGTCAGCACAAGAGCGTGCGTCCTGTTGACAGCGAGGCCTGGTGTCACCAAACACGCGTCAGGGTCAGATCTGCACCGTCTGACTCCTCCTCTGGTGTATTCTTTTGGTGTCATGTAGTAGATGGTTTCCGCCCGTGTGCACATGCGTGAGTGACACAGTTGATGATTCCACGCGGAGGCTTTCTCATCTTTAATGTTATGCCTCTAATGAAGCTACGAGGGAATTGATGGTATTCCCACGGAAGAGGCAGGTGCTTTGTGAACCTTCAGGATATTTCAGAGCCCAAAGCTCTATGCGCTGTGCCCTTTGTTCCCCAGCTGCCGTTAGAGTCTCCCCGTGTGGGTCAGCTCTGGGCGGGCAGGGCACAGGCAGGAAGGGGGTGCTTGGTGAGCGGCCGTGTTTCTCACCCAAAGCCCTGGCAGCAGGGAAGGAAGCCTTTCCTTGTAGTCCACCAGGCCTCGAGCCGCGATGTGGTCTGGGGAGGGTGCCCGGGACTCGTCAGACAGAGCAGTACTGGGCGACGCACCACGCTGGCCTGGGTGCGGTCACGTGGGCGAATCCACCGCGTGCTCTTCCAGTGGTACTGAGAGTTGAAGGGAGTAATACAGCTTGCTCATACGATCAGTTGTGTGCCTGGGAAGATGGACACCCAGTACCTGGGAAGACGTGGGCGGGAAACAAGGTGGGAGGGGTGCCGTAAGGAGGGCTTGTTTCTCACGTTTAAACAGCTGCCATGGATTCACCCACTGTGAGTAGACGGTTCAGAGACTTTTGCGAATTTCACAGTTGCGCAGCCATGACCACAGTCCAGCTCTAGGAGCTTTCCGTCACCCCAGGATGTCCGTGTGCCTGTTTGTGATGAACACCCATTCCACGGCAGCCACCCCCTCTCTCTACGTGTCTGCCCTTTCTGGGCATTGCGTGTGAGTGGGATCAGGCACCACGCTGTCTTACGAGCCAGGCTCCCTCCGTGTCACCTGTTTGGGGCGTGCCCAGGGGCGGCACGGATCTCCCTCTCGCTCTTGTTGGTTGCTGGGAGTGTGCCGGGGCGTGCACACGGCAGCCCTGTTTGTCCCTCACCGGGACGGCCCTTGAGTTGTGTCCACTTTGTGACAGTGAGGAGTCATGGTACAAACACACCTTTGTGTGGACAAGTTCTCGTGCAGCCGTGAGTTTGGAGTAATCCTGTTCCTTTGGTGTCGCTAGTGCTGGTAAAAAGCGCATGTGAGACTGCAGGCGTGTCTCTGGGATGTGCGTGGAGCTCCCTGAACGGTGCAGACCTGTCACCTCCAGCACGGCATGTCACGGTCATAACGTCACACGCAGTCTTATGACGGCTCCCTCCGTGTGGTGCGCGCCGTCCGGTCCCCAGCAGGTGAGCACTTTCCCAGTGTTTGGTTTTTCTCTCGCCCATCAGGGGAGGAGGCCAGCAACGTCCTGCTGGGCATGGTGGAAACCACGTCCCACCGGCAGCACCCCACACGCACGTAGGTGGCGACCCAGCAGTTCCACTTCTGAGGACGTACCTCTGGCACCCTGAAAACACATGGTAAGTCACTCAGTCGTGTGTGCAGGAGACGGTGAGTCCACTCGGGGGGCCACACAGCGCAGTGCTGTGCAGAGGAGCCTGGTCCCCGTGAGCCGACGCGAAGCGACTCCCAGTGCTGGGGAGTGGGCGAGGGGAGCGCCCAAGAGCATCTAGCGTGCAGCCCTTCACGTGAGAAGGCGTGTGCAAAAACCCACGTGTGCCTGCACAGGAGGGGTGAGCCAGAACTGGAGAGACCGGATACGCCCAGGGCGGGCGGCGCCCAGGGAAGGGACACCTGCGGCTGGAGGGATGGGGACGCAGAGCTGCTCCGAGTGGACCTGTGTGGCCCGCTCTGCTCTAGGAACCACAGCGACTCCCCACAGGCCCCAGAGGAAGTGTGTTGACATCGGCCGGCATTGGCAGGGGACCCAAAACAGAGCAGAAGCAGAAACAAGCCTCGGCGTTGGCGAAAACAGTGACAGAGCCACAGCCAAGGGGTGGGCACTGTGTTTTGGAAAAGACTATTTTGACGAGATTTAGAAGCCGAAAGACAAAAGATGGTGCACGCACTGTGCTTGCAGGCCTGTGTCTCCCCGATGAGCACCCGCAGCTGTGCAGGCCTCCGCATGCACAAGGGCCGACTGACAGCAGATCCCAGCGCCATGAGAGCCAGGAATACGTTTCACTAAGGAAAGGAGACCCACAGGCCGGTGGCGGGCGGCAGCTGGGTGTCGGCGTGAGCCCGTGCAGCGCCGCACACGCAGCGGCGGGTGCACAGAGAAGTGGGGATGTCCCCGTGTGTCCCCTGGTTCTGCCCCCCGAGCGGGCTGGTGGCAGGAGTCCACTGACGTCATTCTCTCATGGAGAGGAGCCAGGCTGCTGGAGGAAGGTGCGGGGGGAGCACCTGCTGGTGCCAAAAGGAAGGAAGTGCTGGAAAGGGTGGGGCAGGCCGAGGGCAGCGGGCCAGCTGGAAGGAGGAGAGGGCCACGCTGGGCCGGTCTGAGCGCAGAAGCAAGTAGTGAGGTATTGGTTTGCAGTCCACGGGGGAAGTGAACATCCCTCATTCCGTGCCGGTGTAAGTAAATAGTCGGACAAATCAGTGAGTGAGTGAGGGGAGGGGACAGCCCTTCTCCACAGAAGAATTTCAGCTCATCCGTGTACAAGGAATGAGGAAATCGAATGTCACCGTCAGGCTCGACACCACAGAAAAGCCACTTCAGGCGAGACCCAGGCGCCAATGCTAACATCCGGGAGCGAAAATTTGAGGAGAAACAGGATATTTGCCTAGTCTCATAGTATCTTTTCCCCAAGTTATTTATTTATGAGGGGAAAAACCGTAACTTTAGAGAGAGCCAGCACACGCTACCTCCCCAGGCGACCCAGGCTAACAACACCTGTGACAAGACAGGTCGCTGTCAGGTGCTCCCTGACACCACATGGCACCTCACCTCCCTGGTATTCTCGTCACGGATCCACTCTCACGGTGTCGTCCCAGGAAAAAGCTGCCAGACTCTAGGAGAGGACGTCCCATGAATTGCCTGGCCAGTGTTCTCCCAGCGGCCGACAGACAGGGACGGAGGGACAGTCTTGGCTCCGAGGAGCCTAAGGAGACACGGCCTCGAAATGCAGCCTGGGCTGTGGGCGGGGTCCTGGGACACTCGGGTCATCACTGGGAAACTGGGGGATTCAAACGGGGTCTGACCTTGAGCTGACACTGACCCATTTCCTAACTTTGACAACTGGTTGGTGGTTCTGTGGGGCGTGAGCACGAGGAAAAGCTGGGCCAGGAGCACGAGGAGAAGCTGGGCCAGGGTGGCGGGCACTCTGGGCTGGTTCCCACTCTCTGCTAGTCGCACCTTTAGGACAGAGAGTTGAGAAAGGACGCACATGCTGGGGCACAGAGGGGTGCCCGTGGAACCGAGGTGGCGGCAGGGCCGAGGTCTGTCTCTTTGCCAGGCTGAGAGAGTGGTTCCAAGTTGTCTTCAGGGAGAGTCTTTCCTTGAGTTTACACTGGGCCGTCCGGCCCCCCAGGGCCCAGTGCAGAGCACCGGTGTGTGCTGGGGGGGCACGCTGTTCACGTGGGGCCCAGGATGACCTGCTCCCCCTGGGGAGGAGCACTGTCACCTGGAGGCTCCACATTGGGGACCTCTCATGTGGCTACCGGTGTTTTCCCAGGTTGTCCTGGGTCTTTTGTTTGATTTCATTTTTTCCAAAGCGAAAATTTAAATTTTTATGTATTCCGATCAGTCAGTCTTTTCCTTAGAGACTTCTTGTTTGAGTCTCATTTAGGAACATTTCCCTACCCCAGGGCTGTGCTTCTTTCACTCTTTCCAGCAGTTTCGTCTTCTGCATTCCTCGTCTAGCTCATCGCTGACCTACGGGAAATCTGCTTCTGTGCAGCCCGAGGTCAGGATCCAGTGTCTTTTCCATTGGCCGGCCAGTTGCCACTCTCATTGTGTGGCCTGCCCTTTGCCTGGTGGTCAGAAATGCCACTTTTGTCAAATGCTAAATTCTTTCTTCAGTTACATTTGCTCGTCATTGCTGTGTAGGAAAACTATTGATTTTGCATTTTGATTGTGTCCAGAGATTGTCACTCGTCTCGTATTTTCAGGTAGAAGATCAAATTGTTTCTCCTTGGCCCTGGCTGGTGTAGCTCAGTGGATTGAGCGCAGGCTTGTGAACCAAAGCATCGCCGGTTTGATTCCCAGTCAGGGCACATACATGTGTGGGTTGCAGGCCAGTTCCCAGTATGGGGTGTGCTAGGGGCAACCATATATTAATGTTTCACTTCCTCTCTTTCTCCCTCCCTTCCCCATTTCTCTAAAATAAATAAGTAAAATCTTTTAAAAAACCGTTTCCAGTTTTTCCCTTATTTATTGGCTGGAGATTTTGGTGTTTGGCCGAATGCGGTGTTTAAACAGTAGCGTGATTAGCGGTACTTCTCTTGTTCTAACTTGCATGCAAATGCCTTTATGTTTCCTCATCGGGAAACTTTGTTGTTCGAACACATCCTTTGTCTAGTTAAGCAAGTCACCTTCCCAGTGTGCCGAGATTTTAAAATGAACTTTATTATGAACAGCAGCATGCTCCTCTGTGCTTGTTCTGAGTTGGATCTGTGGAGGTGATCCTGTGTCTCCCCTCCGGCCTGTTAATGTAGTCAAGTTCTGTAGTACATTTCCTGTTGCTAAACAGTGTTTCATTCTCAGGAAAAGCTCAACTTGTAACACACTGAAAATTAAGCTTGTTATTTATTTTAATACCTTCTTAAAAAGGAGTCCCTCCTCCCCCCCCCGCCCCGCCCTAGCCTTTTCTTGTCTGAGGCATAGTTTGTACACTGTGCAGTGTCCGCAGCGGCGGCTGGTACATGAGCGGCAGCTGGCTCTCCTGTGGGTGCAGACGTACGAGCCCTGAGCTTTGTGCTGGTCAGTTTTCGTGGCAAAAATATTCTCACCCTTGCCTGTTTTCGGCTACCAGTGAGCTGACAGCTGCTTCGCAGAACTCCCGAAAAATGTCATGGTCCTTTCTCCTGCGCTGGTGCCAGCTACCGCTGGACCCCAGTGTGCAACCTGGTGACTTCCACGTCTGCATCACCATCTCCCGTGTCCACCAGAGGCTTCATCATGCCCAGGTCAGCACCCGGTCCTCCCCAGGGCCACCATGGGCTCCTGGCACGAAGACCTGGTCTATTTATTTTCAAGTCATTCTTGTTTTTCACTCTGTGCATTGACAGCTGTTCATTTTCCGCTAAGAACTACCTCAGCCTCTTCACCGATATTGTAGATATAAACACAGGGCTTGGAGTGATTTTAAGTGACAGACTGGGCATCTGACCCATGGGTCCATGACCCACAATTGTGTGTAAAAAAACCTGCAGGTCTGTGATGGTAAGTCCTTAAATGTGAGCTGTTGCTAGTGTCTTATATTCATGCAGCTCTTTGTCTTCCCTGATGTAAGTGAAACCATTTCTCATGCATTACTTACACTGTCATTTGACAAACGTTTTTTGAGTATCTACTGTGTGTCCCACACTTCGGATCCCAAATGGGTGAGTAGCAGTGAATGAAATAGCCCCTTCATGGCGCACAGATTCTGATATATCTTTAAGTCGAGTAGTTTTCCCTGTTCGACTGTCCTTGCCAGTTTTCTCTGTCTCACCCACTGGTGTTTGCCCGGTATTCTCTAAAGTCAACCTGAAATTAGTCCTGTTTTCCCCATTGCTTTAATTCTGAAATTTCCTGCTTCTATACTAGCTGATGTTTAGCTTAACTGTATTTCTGCTTTGTCCAAATTTTCACGAGGAAAAGGCAGAGGAATCGAGACTGAGCTTTTACATTAGGAAAGGCTCGTGCTTTAAGAGGGTATGACAGCAGAGTGACTGGAAGCGTTCCGTGAAGTGACCCTCTTTTCGATGCATGGACTGTCACCTAAGGAGGAGCCGTGGATGAGCGTGTGGCCTCCCACGGCTGTTCCAGATGCTGGTGGGCTGCTCCCCACCACTATGTCTCGTCTGGCTCCAGGGGGCACTAGGATGCATGGGGCTCTGCCTTCTGGCCGCTTGGTGGCTCTGAGAGGCCGGAGCCAGCTCCCCAAGTGCTGAACAGCACAGTTATGTCTTCGCAGTGTGCTTTGGAGTCAGGTGGAGGAGATTGGGACTCAGGTCCCCACTGTGCAGTGGGTCTCGGTCCGGGGAGAGTGGCGGGTCGGCCTGCGGGGGGAAGGAGCTGAAGGACCAGACGGAGTGTCGCGGAGGGTAGCCTGGGAAGTGTGGATGCCGGCCAGCGGGCCTCAGGAATCCATCTGCTCGTCTCTCCGCCAAACAGATTTGGATTTCTGCTCTTTAAATCCTGCGCAAAGTTAATGTCTTTAATTTAAAAGTCAGTATTTTACTTTAATAAGAGAAAATGGTTCTGATTTATTCAGACAATTTGAAAGACCGCGGAGATCGGCCCTCCTCATTCTTGGAGGAGAGTGTGGGAGAACAGAGTGTGTGAAAAGCGGCCTGGATGGGACTTGGCTCCTGG